GATGAGCTCTGGTGGTGGCAGCTCTGGCAGAAGAGGGTCCATCTCTGGAGGTGGAGGTTCAGGGTCTCGAGGCGGAAGCTTGAGCTATGGTGGTATCTGCAGTTCTGGCAGTGAAGGGTGTGGAGTGTCTGGCTCTGGAGGTGGGAGATCCAGCTCTGGGCCTATCTGCAGTTCTGGGAGCGGATGGTATGGCTCTGGGGGTGGGGCTAGCTCTGGAGAGGAAGGTAGTTATGGTGGAGGGAGCTGTGGGGCTGGGAGATATAGCCCCAGAGATGGGAGTGGAGAATGCTGCTCTGAAGGCCGGTGGTCTTCTTGAGGGCAGGGTTACAGGACTGTCTTTGGAAGCAGCTCAGGTTGCTCTGGAGATGCTTCCCACAAATCATATTTACATGCAAATATCTTCCAGTGGAATGGCAAGAAGGCATTCTCCTTGCTATTGGAGGCAAGAATGGCTTTCCTGCCCACCACTGAGTCACCGCTATTCCAAACGGGTCGCACATAATCCTGAGCTTTCTTCTCCCATCTCCTGAACTCTCCAGCCACACACCTCTGTTTTATGACAATATTGTGATGGTTGCTACTGTTTCCTTAGGCTTTCTCTGAGCACTTCAACTCAGGCTGTTTGGAACCTTTATCTTTGGCAACTAAAAGCTTGAAGCCCTGTCTGTTGTGTGTGTATTGGTCTATGGGAGGGTACGGCTCTGAGATGTATGATGGGACTTTTGAAAGAACCTTTTCAATATAGAAACCAGTTTATAGAGACCCGAGCCAACCTCAAGAAATAATCAGTGAAAAAGTGGAAGAAGGTGTTTACAAAAGAACGTCTGCTGAGGCGGGGGCGGGGTGTATAACAAACATCTGTGTGAGACTGGGCGTCAGGGGACAAGTCCTATTGGCCTAATCTAGCAAGTAAACCAGGACACATGGCTACCTCTCAGTTCCATCATTCCATCTAGGAGTCACTCATTAAATAACCAGGGGACAGAGCGCAGCGTCCATGTAGATTTTGTTAGCACTGCAGTGGCAGATAAAGAAAGGAGGAGAAAGTCTATGAACGTTGTCTCCTTATCTCGCTTCTAGCCCCCTTTCCCCCCCTGGGGTCCCAAATAAAAGTTGGATGGTCTGTACCCAAGTAAGCCATTTTTGGCCGACATCTTATTTAATCATCACTTCCAGGCAGAGGAAGCCAGATGTTTTCTAAATTTCTCACAGAACCTTCCTTTAAGTCCAATCAAAAGTTCTAATGAAGAGTAGAGCAGCTGAGAACCGGGGAAGATTGTTCAAGAAGCTCAATGCAGCTGTGTCACCTTAATACAGCAACGCTCCACTTAGATAATGAGTGTCGCAATCCCATCAGGAATATTTCCTGCCTTTTCCCCAGTTGGAGGGAAGGTAGGATCTTTTTAACTGTTTTCCAAAGAAATCCAACTATGAAGAGTCCTGGGGGTGGCAGCCAGTGGGGAGTGAGATACTCAGCTTGGTGGGAAATCCACTGTGGAGACCCATTTGCGAATGGCCACAGAGCCATGAAAACAACGAGAGAAGGTTGACAGGGAGCGACAAAGGGCTAAATCAAACCTTTATAGCGTAGTCTGGAAACAGTTATGAGTACCCTGCATGTAGGGGGGTCTAGGCACTGTATTTCAGTCCAAACTAGGTTGTCACTGCCCCCATCGACTGCAGAAAGGCCTGCGCAATCTGTGAAGCAGTCAGCTGTGGTAGTGAAATGTGCAGGCTGGGTTAGCCAACCCTCCTGAGATAAGCCTGTGTTTTCATCTGCGCTGGCTCGCATCCCGCAGGTTCAGCGCGTGGGTGGTATGAGTCTACCTTGGCTTGCCAAATGCCATGTAGAGCTACCCTCCAACAGCTGAGAGAGTTTATTGACCCTCTTAATGGCTGCTTCTGCATCACGCACGGAACCCGTTCAGTTCTTCAGGACCCAAGTGGTAAATGAGCTGCACCGTCACAACCCTGCTTTTTGTCGAAGAGATTAGGTAAGACTTGTCAATCAAGAGAAAACCTCCCCCCTTACAATAAAACGTGGAAGCTGTGAAAGGTAATTCTGCACACTACCAAGCATTGCTGGGCTCTAGTTTCACTGTTAAAATAATTACGCAGCCAGGATGCCTGGAGCATCTCATGTCTAATCAGGAGAAATAAAGAATTAATATGAACGCTGTGGTGAGGTCTGTGAGTTTTTTACTGATCTGTTTTGTAGAGCAAAAGGTTGAAAAGGAAGAAGGGAGAGTCAATGGGGAGAAATAGGCACTTCTGGAGGCAATTCAAAAGACCTAATTTGTGCATCGACCTTAGTACGGGATGAATCACCCGCTGGAGATCAGAGAAACCATCTGTTTCAGTTGGCTGTAAAAGGAGACCAACTTAGAAAAGAGATTGGTAACCCCCAAACCATACAAGGGGCTTGATCAGTGTTTCCACCTAGTTGGTTTAAGTACTGTTTACACACTGGTAGTACATAGCCTCAAGTGCTGGGATAATTTAGTGAAGGAATGGTTTGGAAGGGTATCTCAAAACCTGTTCTGCTTGTCAGCTAAGCTGTAATCACATCGCCGGTTTCTGGAGATGAGTGTTGTGGCACCTCCTTCCATATAAACTATCCCTTTTTAAGTAGGAGTGAAAAATCTGGCCCAGGATTTCAGTTGTCTAAAAATATAATATTTTTAAAAAATGCTTAATTATTGCTGTTTCTTTCCTTCAGCAGTTAGGTGGTCCAACTCCTGCTAGTATCTGTAAGCAGCTTGTGTATTTGGCTCCGTTAAGACCAAGGCTGAGTTTCAGGTCTTCGGACCGTACCGATTTGAGCTGGGGTGATCAAGAGGATGGTTTTTCTTTCCACCACCACAGCGCGTGGAAAGTGGCTAAAAAGGGTGCAGCATCAGTGTGGGGAGCATGGGGACATGTCTGCTGCTGATTTCTTGTTGACCAAGTTGCTTATGTCAATTAGATGTTGCCCACGTGTTTTTGATGGAAAACGCCACGAGACAGAGTGCCTAAGGCTGTGCCCAGAGACATTTCGATTTTCAAGGTTCAGGGGCTGAACTGAAGTAATGAGAAGAAGATCATAAGATGGGGCCTTCAGATTAATGTCAGTTAACGTGTTGGGGCACGTACTATCAGTCATCACAACACTAGGAACGTGCTCGGGATGTAACGCTGAAAGAAGGCACCTACTGACACCCTGTGCCTGGGCACCGCTTGAGCCTCCAAGAGTATTGGTGTGATGAGCAAGGTTTCAGGTATGAGGGGAGGACACCAAGGTGGAGAAGGGGATGACCTTAAAGCTGGTGGTAACCCTCTACCTCAGTGTTGGTTTTCTGCCAGAGGTGCCTTACTGGACGCACACATATTTTACAAAACATCCCAGGCTTGTAGTCAACCTCAGAGCACAAATCCATGGGAAATCTCACTTTCATGTGAGGGCTGAGGACCTCCTTGTTCCCAGGCTGTCCTGGCTTCTAAATGCTGCCCTCTACAGCTGTGAGCTAGCGCTTGCTAGTGGTATCCTGAGAGGTGTCAGAGCATTGAACTAGGTGTGAGCAGGCTCATGTCACCACCAAGAACCCAACCAAGAACCCATGCGGACGGGGATGTTCAAGATGCATTAGATACCACCACCTAGTGGGAGGAAAAAGTTGTGCCGTGGTTGGGTAGAGCTGGCCTTTGCATCGGCTCTCCCAGTCTCTCTCTGACTGATGGAGTTTTGGGCTTGAGCCCTTTTCGCTGTACAGATGTGGCCAGAACAAGAAGTTCCCTCCTGATTTACTTTGGCAAAAAGCTGTGAAATTAGTCAGGGCTACATTGTCACACCATGAAAACTGGGCCTCCCATCTTCATTGCTGGGCTTCTTTCCAAAATTCCTGGTGATTAGAAGTACATTAATGAGCTGTCATTACCCCAGGAGCTACTCCCCTGGTGCCCACATACACGTACAACCCTTCCTCTCCTGAAAGGGAGCTGCAGCAAACACAATTGCTCTGACGCGAGTGCACTGAGTTCCATCCACGGGATGGAAGCAAGTGGAGAAGATCTGGTGTATTTTAAACCTGGAGACGCTCCACTGTCAAATAAGGCACAAAAACATCGTCTCCTGCAGCAAGTTGAGTGGGATGAGGCAAAGCTGGGAGAGGAAGGCAGAGCTGACCTTGTGGTCCTCTGAACTACAGCCTGAGCTGGGCAGTTGAGAACAGCCCAAGGGCTGCATCAGGTGCCATCACCTACTTTTTGAGGACTCAGGGTCATCAGGGGACATATAGACTCAGAGTCAGAGGTGAGGCTGATCCGGATGGATGAACGTTTCGCTAGGTCTGGAGATGTGGAAACCCAGGTTCAGAAGTTTTGCTTATCAAAATGTATCTATGGGAGGAAAACTTTCGAAACCACCCATGACCCCGTAGGCTCTAACCACAGCAAGGCAACAAAACCCCTGAGCTAATTCTTTCTTGCTTGAAAGGAGACAAACTCTCCTAGCTAGCAGCAGGCCAGGCAGAGTGCTGCGAGATCGCCCCTCCCCTGCTCAGAAGGCGCAGGAGGACCATCAGGCGTCGTGGTACATCGTCACCGGGGCCACGCGGGCGCAGCGAGGGGATTCAGTGGGAGACCGAGGAAAGACAAACTGGAAGAACAAAATGAAGACCGAGTCGGAGCAGCTCCAGGCCAAGCGCCCTCCTCCTGGGCTCCAATCCTGCTCTTCCAGCTGGGATTGCCATGGACTCTGCCTGTATTTAAGCAGCCAAGTGAGACACCCAGGACTTCAATCATTCCAAAAAAAAGTGTAGGTGTAATTGATAGTGCTGTCAAGAACCTGCAATTAAGCTAGTTGTCTTTCCAGCTACTTCATACCATCAATTATCTCTCTTGCTGGGCTAAGGGCAAGCTGTTCCAGTGCAGAACATTTGCAAATAATGAGGTACAAGAAAACCTTTGGCATCAGCTGCTCTTGGAGACAGAATACCAGCAAGGTTTCTGGTAACCAGTTTTGTTTTTCATCAGCCTTCTTGCGAAAGGTGGTGAAAAAGCCCTTCAATGAGCCCAGGGAGCAAACAAAAAACCAAAATCCCTGCAAAATCAAGGAAAGAAGTGGGCACGTGAAACACTATCACATTTCTTGGGAATTTGAACTGCTTAAATGTTTAATTGCCAAAAAACAATGACCAAGGTTTGAGCCTGTTGAAAAAGTTAAGGATTAGTATGGCACAATAGCAGGGGAAAACCATTTCTTTCACATCATCTGAAATGAAACCCTTTGCCTTTCTGTTTTGAAAGAGGCTTTGGCAAGAAGCCGCAAGGACAGAGATGTAATCTTGGCTCCACCTCTGAGGTTTTGTGAGGCTCTCAGCAAATATATTAAACTTATCAGCCTTTTCTTCCCCGTCTGTCAAGCAACTCTAATAAATCTTTTTTATCTGCCTTGAGGTATCCCAAGGGTTTTAATTACAAGCTCAAATATAAAGGATAGTAACAGAGAGGAGCCATACAGCAGCTGTATTAATAAGGTATTTCTGCAAGATACTGGGGGCTGGTGCATTCATGGTCTGCCCACCAAGGCCAAGCCTACTGCTGTTTCCAATTAAATGATTAACAAGCATCCAGTTAACAACCTTGTGGCTGAGCTCCCTATTCTCTGAGCTATTTATTGTCTTCTCCATGTGAGTCTCATTTTTCGATGTGTTCTACACAACCGAAGCCAAAAACTTAATGAGAAGACACAGCTACACTAATTTATTCCTCTAAAAATTGGGCATCCAAGTCTGAGCTGGTCATTTTAGACTTTCTTGGACTCAGCGAGGAACAGGAAGGGTCTCTGGAAAGGAATTTCTCAGACAAATCTGTCTTTCAGCAGACCTAGCATCAAAAGTCAGAAGAGATGAGTCCTGCCCAGTCAGTTAGGGTCTCTAACTGGGGATGGTGTGCGGAGGGATGTTTATAAAAAAGTATTTTGCACTCTCGTACCACAGCAAGGAAATTCGCGTGTCCGGTCCACGCGATGGTTCCCAGCTTGCAAGAACTGGGCTGCCTTTGGCTGTGCCTCAAGGACTCATACTGTCTTCTGTGAAGGGAGTGACTATGAAAAGAACAAATACTGCAAAAATCACTTATAATTTGCTGTTCAACAGAATATTCCTTTACAGTTTGTCCTTGACAGAGAGAGATACTCTTACGGCCATTTGCTAAACTGTAATTAACGTAAGGAAGGAGGACACACTAAAATGAAAGAACAATCCTCTCAAAACCCAACCCACAGGATTCTCCAAGCTGAGTATGCAAACGAAGTGATTTAAAAAGAGTAAAATTCCACAGGATTTCACAAATGTTCAGGGTTATGCATTATTTTGCATGTTTAAACCTGCCAGGCAAGGCAAACCCCAAGAAACCCCAAATTATTCTTCTGCCTCAACCAAGCCCCACTTCTGAGGTGTGTATAAAGGAGGTGCGTATAAAGGAGGTGCTCAGGGGGTGTCGGAGCAGAGGGGCCCCTTTTTGGGCTCTGCTGTCCTCCAGCATCCTCTGCTCCATCACGTCTGCCAGCATGAGCCAGCAGCTGTCAGCTGGAAGGTCTTTTCATGAAAGAAAGTTCCCCTCGTCATCTTCTGCTGCGAGTGGCATGAGCCGCTGCCGAAGCAGCACTTTCCCCTCTGCTGCGCTGTTTGGAAGAGGTTATGGAGCCTCGAGCCACAGCAGCCAAAGCCTCCAAAACACAGGTGGGTGTAAATGGATTTCTTCCGGCCGAAGCCTTGCACAGGGGCTCTGCGGAGGCTGGGGGCGCAGGGGCATCCATGCCAACAGTGAAGGTGGGAGTCATGGGTTAGGCTTCCACGGCAGGAGCTGTAAAAGTGAAGGTATTCATGCAGGGCATGTCAACGAGAGCCTGCTGAAGCCTCTTGATGTGAATTTCGAGCCCGAAATCCAGCACATCCGAAAGCAGGTGAAGAGCCTCAACAACCAGTTTGCCTCTTTGATTGACGAGGTGAGAGCTGAGACAGGACTTAAAGGAATGATGAGGTTTAAGTGTGAAGGGAACCTTCCTGTGCTCAGGTCTTTCCTCTCCTTCTCTCATCCTATTACATGAGCCTCGTGCTGGTTTTAGCACGCGTGACTCCAGCCCATGAGCTCCAAGTGCAGATCGAGCTGATAATGTTATTTGATTCTGGCTTTATGCGCTTTGATAAGCTGCATCTGGTTTTATTATTAATAGTGGAAGGGTGCCGTTCCTCCAAGATAATCTTAGTGAACTTCTGCACCGTCGACTTCTCGCTGTGCAGCCAGACCTTGTAAAGCTGCATTGTCTCCTGTCGATGGTTCGCACTATCAGCCAATTGATATGCAGATCTATGCAAATATTCCACGGTTTCTGCAGCTGCTGCAAAGGCTGTGCTGTCTACGGCTTCCTTGGAGAGTGGGTGAGCAGCATGCCCAGTTTGCCCTAGGATTATAGGATTATGAAGATTCCAGTGCCCACCTTTTCTCCTCTCATCTCCTTCAAACCACAATGAGCCCCTGGAGCACTGACTCGGAAGAGAAGATGCCTTGTTCCCCCCACGTTCGCCTGGTCCCTACACAATGCATCTAAGCATGTGTCTGAAGAAGGTGGCTTTGCTTTCTGAATGCAGGTGCAGCATCTAGAGTGGCAGAACAGGGTGCTGGCCAACAAATGGGACCAACTCCAGAAGCAGGTCCTGCCATCCCAGAAGAACATCAAGCCTGTCTTCAGCAACTTCATTTGCAGCCTGCAGAGGCGGCTGGACGCACCGCTGCACGAGAGGGGACAGATGGAGCCTCAACTGATCGACACAGAGAAGCTCATTGAGGAGTTCAGATGCAAGTGAGTGAGCAGAAACATCCACAGGGCAGTGAGCTTGAACAGCTTGTCCGATGGGACTTTTGTTTCTGTCCGTATCAATAGACTTTTCCCTGAGGTCCAAAAAGCCGAGAGCCAGAAGCTCCCTGACCCCCAAATACCCAGACAAACAAGGTCTCCAGTCTCAGAAAGACTCAGTGACCGGTCTCTTCTCTTCCCTAACAGATACAAGCAGGACGCGGACAGACACACAGATGCGGAGAGTGAGTTTGTGTCACTGAAGAAGGTAAGGAATTTGTACGAACGGAAGGGTTGGATGCGGAGGTCTAAGGACTTCCCTCTGAGCCTTGCAAGGCAAGGGTCTTGAGAATGTTACAAGTCATTGGACAAGCATGGATGCAGAAAACCACGCCATGGCGTACTGCCAGAGAGCATTAAAGCTCTGGCCTTTAGTGCAGAAAGTGTATAACGTTCTAAACTGACAGCTTGCTAGTCCTAACACCCAAATCATGATGCTGTTCAAGCAAAAACTCAGCAATATTTTATATGCTTTTAGGACCCCTCAGGTGTTGCTGTTCAGGGGATATCTGAGCTTCCCAATTACATTTCCTAAACAAAATTTCTTACTCTAAAAATATAACGAAATTGCCTTAGGTCTCTGTGTAGGCACCATTTTAACATCTAAACATTTGGAAACTCTTTTAGGATGTGGACTGTGTCTATCTGGCCAAGGCAGAGCTGGAAGCAAAGGTGGAAACCCTAAAACAGGAGATAGAGTTCCTGAAATGTGCTTCTGCTCAGGTATGGATGCTCCTGTCCCAGCTTTGCTTGATGGCCGCTATTCCTACCAGCCGCTCCTTGTCTACATTGATTTAGGCCTGATTAAACCAAACCAGCAGGATCTCTTTGGGAGGCAACGGGAATCCCAGATAAGGAAGACTTTGACATCTCAAAAAAAACCCCCAAACCAACCCCAAACCCCTCAAGTTGCATATGTGACCAAATCTAGTCTCAACTCCTGGGTTGTGGCTCAGGTCAAACTCTCAGCGGTGATGTTGCTCCCACTGGAGTGTGAGACAAGAAATCCAGGGACAGAGACATCCTGACAGCTTGCTGCCACTCACATGGCTTCCAGGAAATCGTTGACCTGGAGAAAAGTCCCTGTGTCACCTCTGTCACTGTGAAAATGGACAGCAGCCGAGGCCTGGACACGGAGGGCATCCTCAGGCACATTGAGTGCTGGTGTGAGGACACAGCTCAGAAAAGCAAAGTGGAGTTGGATGCATTGTACAGAACTAGGGTAAGTTGTGGTGTCCAGTGACATTCCCTTCGTTCTCTCACTGTCAAAAGTAGTAGTGCAAAGGCGGTGATTTTTTCTTCCTGTCTTCGCTGTGTAACTTCTGGACCTAATCTTCCATTCTGCTAAACTGTGAGTCTCAAAGCCGGGAGAACATTCCCAGAACAGATCCAGGGCAATGGGACAGGCCTTAGTCATGCTGGGAATGGGGAGGCTGTAGGCGAGTTGAACAGTGAAAGCTCCAGGAGGAAAGCTCCACTTGCTTCTGAAAGTCCCGGGAGCTGCAAAATCACGAGGACTTTTCTAAACCTAGTTTAATTCACTCTGGAAACAGAAGCAAGGCTCCTATATTACGTACAGTACCAGTATTAATTGCCAGCTCTGTCTTTTCTTACTATCTGTTCCAAGAGCTTGAGGAGGCAGCAGGGAGAGATTGCAATGAACGGAAGTCCTACCAGCAAGAGATTGAAGAGCTGAGTTTTGTGATCCAGAGGAGGCAGTGTGACCTTGAAAATGTGAAGAAGCAGGTAAGATGGATCTTATTTACTCACTGGATCCTAGATGTGAGATCCCAAGTCATGTTTTCTACATCTCTGTGGCATTTCTTTCATCTTTATCAAAGAGCATTGCCCCACACTGGTTCCATTGGTCTAGAGAAGATCTTACCAGTGCTGAGCAGGGAAGAAGGATTATCCGCTGGCCTGTTTTCTGTTGGATCATTTTGATTATTGCAAAGAACTAATTGCACTAAATTAGATCGTTGGATTAGCTACAGCCACTCGGAAAATTGCTAAAATTGCTCCAGCAAGAATTCTGGCAGGAGACAATGCTTCTGACACAGGTTCAAAGCATCCAATAAGTAGGGTAGAATTATGACTCACCAGTAATTCAGCACCCATAGAAACTGGCATAATTTTCAGACCATCTAATTCATTATATAGTTTATAACGGGAAGTAATGGAAAACCTTAATTATTAGCTCCAATTAGAACAAAGTATTGGTATCCTCAAAACAAGACTTAAACACAGTCTGGCAGTACAGGGACATGTCCAGCCTTTCTGTAGTATTTCAGCATTGTTCTTTGATTTTGGAAACATTTAGCTTTCCTAAAAACAACCTCAATACTTCCCAATTTGAGACTTTCAAAAGAAGCGAGGATTTATCTTTCAAAGCTGAGTATGGCAAGGAAGAGGGCAGGCAAAGTAAAGGTTTCTTGTGTCTCCCCTGACAGGTCTCCTGCCTGCAAACCTCCATTTGCGATGTTGAGCAGCGTGGGGACTGTGCCCTGAAGGATGCCCGGGAGAAGCACGTTGAGCTGCAGAATGCCCTCCAGAAGGCCAAGGATGAGCTGGCTTGCATGCTGCGGGACTACCAGGAGCTGCTGAATGTCAAGCTGGCCCTGGATATTGAGATTGCAACGTATAAGACTCTACTGGAGAGCGAAGAGAGCAGGTGGGTACCACTACAACCATGTGTGGGCAGTGTTCAGTCCTTGGGACTCTTCAGCAGAGACAAGGAGCTTGGAAAACACTAGAAATGATAGTTACGTGATGGATAACCTTGTGACCTTCTCCTTCAGGATATGCCTTGGGAGCCCTGCCCTGTGAGAGTGTGTAAGTAAGCTTAAGGTTTTCTATTTCCCTCACAACACGAAACAATCTAGTTCTGGTCTTCAGGGTCAGGAGGAAGGCTGCGTCCTCCCCATGAGCGCTTCAGCTTGTGGTTTCCCACGACAGTGATCACCACCCCTTGCTGTCACACCGTGTCTGGCTGCAAGGCGACCTGGGATGTGGATCTGGTAGACGCTGCAGAAGATGCAAGTCCTGCTGTAGCACTGGTAGAGCATCCCTACCCACGGATGCTGGTGCCTGCCACAGAGGATTCGCCTCCAGAAGCGTTGCCAGCTCTGCAGGCAGGCAGTGTATCCCCGGTGCTCCCAGCCGCATCCCTAGGAGTGAGGAATTTAGGGCCAGAGGTGGGGGCCACTCGTGCCAGAGCTCAGCCCCTCTGGGCATTGGTGGACTCTGCAGTAGGACTGCAGGGAGCTGTGGAGAGAGCTGCAGAGTGCAAAGAGCGTGGGAAGCTCGGCTCACTCACGAGGGATGTATTGGCCAGGGGTGAGGATTTCAGCTGCACCTCCATGCCCCAGGAACACCCGGATCTAAACTTCAGCTGTGAGACTCAGGACAACCAAGATGTAAGACCTAAAGTAGAAAAATGGAAGCCCTGCTCCACTTTCAGTGGTAAAAATGTCCTCATCTCCACCTTACTCATGAGGAAGAGGCCTACTGCGTACCAGAACATCGTAGCATCATGAAACCACATCAGAGAAACTCCACCGGGATCACATCAAAAAAGGGAACTTAAAACATATTCCTTTTGATTTCTGTTGTTTCTTTAAAGGGCTGGTGGTTGTGTTGGGGCACTTATTATCACTCAATTCCTGCTTCCCACCAGCCTTCCTTTTTCTCCTGATTAAGCCTTTGCTATCTGTGAAACAAGCTGTGGTATTTAATCCAGAATCCTTTCCCTGGAGTGCTCTGGGAAGCGTTTCTGGAAACGAGCTCTCTAGGACTCACCGTTCCATCAAAGTCTGTCTGACATAATTTTAGGCAAGTCAGTAGAGTTGTAGGAGTGAGGCGCACACGGGGTCACGGCGAGGAGGGGCAGGACTCCAGCGATGTTCTTTGTTCGCTGTCTTGGAGCAGTTCAGTCATCCATATGCAGGCAGGCAAGTCATAAAGGAAATCTCAATTCAAAAAAGCACATTTCACCTTCTGTAGTCAGCGAAGAGTAATTACATTACTGTTAGCTTCCTTGCTCAGTGTCCTGACACATGCACAAATGACAGCACCATCACTTCTGTCTTGGTGACTCAAGAGCTTTAAACTTTTTGCTCTTTTTCCAACAAATTGAATGGAGAACAAACATGTCGCCACTTGGTTTTTAGCGTTTGCCAAGAATACAGAAACGCCCTATTCCTAAATCGGGCAAGACCTATCTGCTGATGAGAAGTCTTACCAACTAAGCAGAGGTGGCAGGGCTGCTCAGAGAGTGTCGTGTCCAGTCTTTGGTTAGTGTAAATTACGGCAGTCTTCTAACGTCAGCTTATTTATGCTGATTTGCACCAAATTTGGCTCCTACCCAATGCTATTCAATGGGTGTTTTAAGATTCATAAAGTCATCTCAGTCTCTTTGCATTTTTACAACATGTCTACCACAGAAGTGCGACAACAAAACACATTTTATACCTCTTCAAAATCTGCTGCAATAGGGTCATTATAAGGAAAAAACTCAGGAATGTGTTTGATTGCTTTTTTCAGCATCATTTTAGAAATCCTACGACTACCAGTTTAGGCTTTCAAAACAGATCAAAGGGAGATATTTCATTGTACATTTGAGCAGATTAAAAAAAGAAGCCAATAAATTAGTAACATAAATCAACCACAAAGGACTAAAGTGCTTTGTGATTAAACTGATGAAAGCCAGCAAGAAGAACAAAGAAAGGAACCATACAGAGGCAAGGTGGACAGATACGTGTTTTACAAAAGGGGGAATCCAGAGGGAATGTGTTTCCTATCCGAGGCAATCGTCGTGGTTCAGACCTGGAAGAGCTTTCTCTCCCTGCCCCGTAGTTCTCATGTGATAGGAAGCTATTTCCCAATCAAATATGAGGAGCACGAAAGAAAACAGGCACAATCTTTAATGAAGAAAACCACAAGAAAGATTTGACAAGAAAAGAACAATCGAGCAGCCATAAATATTCATTAAGAGGGGTTTAAGTATCTCATAAAAGTTATGGTGTTCCCGTTGAAAACAAACAATCCTGTCGCTTTTTATGCAAGAGGAGAATAAGTCAGGGATATAACACAGAATTAGGGTGGCTTTCCCATCTCCAAACTCCCCACCCCCCCCCACCCCATCACCATTTCAAGACCTGATGAGTTCTTTTGGCAAGTGCTTTACTTGAAGCCTATGCACAGCCTCTCAGAACACCAGCGCTCCGATGAATCAGCCAGGCGTTTCATGAGAAATTCAGCAGTATATCACAAAGCCGCACAAATCAAATCAAATATGGGCTGGGGCACTAGGGCTTTAGCGTAACAAAAGGAAGAGCTTATCTGCTGCGGGCTGAACATGCTTCCCAGGAGGACCTGACCCACCTTCCACGGGCAATTCCTTCCTTCTGTATTGCTCGGAGAATCTCTTCTGCCCAAGAAGCCGACTTCAACTGGAAGGGACAAGAGCTCCTGTAGATTTATAGGGAAGTTGCTGTAAGCTAATAAGAGCTGCAGTATTTTTTTTTTTTCCCTTTTCTAATATTTTTGCTTTAACATGCAGTGTGATGCCATCCCATTCAGGGGCCCGGTTTCCCATACATCCCTCATTCATTTCCACTGTGCAGTTCTGTGGGAGGAAGACAAAAACACCAAAAAGATCAAAAACAATCCTTTGCTTTGTTGCAAGCCTCAGCTTTACAGGCGCTAATCACCGCACGGAGATATGAGATGTGCATACATCAGGGACTGAGCAGATCTAGAGAGCGTGTGATGTTGTGTACTCTCATTAAGACTTCAAAGGTGCTAAAGAAATTTGGCGCCCAAAGGGTGGGACTAATTTCACCTAACTTTAACCATCCAGAAGTGGGGCGCCTGGTCTAGTTGTCTGGTTGTCTAGACTGCCTCTGGTAGTCAATAAGAATAGAGGTAAGTACCTCCAGAGGTGGATTCCTCCCACCTGACTTAGCTGCCTATTTCAGGACGTGATGAATCACCGTCTGGAGATGCCTATCTCTTTCCATTAGCCGTAGAGGGAGTCTCAAAGATGACATTAGAATACATGGCGAGTTTGATGGCTGAAGTAGGGAGGAAGGTGCACCCAGGCCCAGTGTTTGATGAATTTTATGAAGAACATCCTTTGAAAAACCCAGCCTTGACTTCTAACATAGAGCAGATGTAGGCTAATGAGAGGAAAAAATACACGACCGGACCGAATTCCCTTGGACAACTTCAGCTTTAGGATACAAGGGAACGAGGCTGCAGTAATCAAACCAATTCTTTATCGCCTCATGAATGACATGGACAAGAGTCCATATAGTTCAAGAAACTGTGTGTATAAAAATACATGTTACAACCCAAACTTGCATCTATCAAATGGTGCTAGCACACGTAGGTTATTGCCATTGTCCTATCCGAATGTAATGAGTTTTCTATGGCTGCAGATAATTACAGAGAATGAGCACGGCTCTTTGAGACTATCGCATAAAACATATTTTAAGAGCTTGTTCGGATTCATCTCCAGAGGCAACAAACAAATTAGTGAACTTCACATGTTCTTCTAATGAATTCCATTTTCGGCAGCACATTCAGGGAGAAGAACGCTGACAAAGGGAGAGATCGCAAGTTGTCAAAATGACTCATCCAACCCCTCATCAAAATATTTTCCTTTTTTGTGTCCTCAGTCCTTCCCCTCCTTTTTTTTTTTTTTCCCCTGAGTCAAAAAGATGCAATTTTTGCTTCAGAGTACTCTCCCATTCCCCATGTCCGTACTCACAACAACAAATCGTTGATTCTTGAGGTCTTATGCACCAACAGCCAAAACACTTGTTCTTCCTTGGAAAGACCTGAAAGACATTAGGTGAAACTTCTGGATAGCTGCCTTCTCACTGGGATTCAGGAGCCACCACAGGGATTTGGCTAACACAGAAATTTTACCCCTTAATGGTCAACCTGTGCCCAAAATCTCATACCTATCAGGAAGCCAGTGGCTCCGCTGAGGCATTTTGGAACTGGGGCTGCTGCAGCACAGTTGGTTCATGGAGGTTTAGTTGCAGTCTGTGCTGCATTCCCGGTGTCTCCCACACAGTCGACGTGTATAATGGGGTGCAGAAAGGGAGCAGCGGCACACCAGCCTTCAGTCTGGTCCAGGATGCAGTTTTCCTACATAAAGCTCGTAACAATTGCTTTTTGTACTCTTCTCTGGATTCAAATAAGCATTTCGCTTCTGATAAATCGTTGTTTAGAACTTGAAGGATTCGGGAAGCTACAAGCTTTACCTTGAAGTCTCTAATATTTGTTTTAACTGATATTGCCTATTGTGCCTGGCAACCCGGTATGAACTGGGAGCCTAAAATACTATAAACAAAGGTGTGATCTGAAAGTCACGCTGTAAATATGTTGAATTATCCCATTTATACAGGGCAGAAGTATCAGTTTACGCAACTAATTTATACCACCAGCCCCTCAAACTCACCTAAGTTGCAATTACACATTCAATTAATAGCCTCGTAAATCTCGGTGCTGCAGTCACGTCCTATGGTTTCGGTGTGCATGTCTTCTTTTTAAGAACTTGACATTAGAAGGTTTTATGTTTTAACGAGGTTTAGCGTTGTTTTTATGATTTGCACGGCCTGATCCTAATTCTCGGAAAATGTTTTCGGAGGGGGTTAGTGAGGACGGGGGAACACAGCTACCGGGTGTCTCCAGATACCATCCCGTTGCTTGTGTAACATGCAGGCTTCTCTGAGCGTTGCTCCCCTTTGGTCTGGAAGGGCTGAGGGCATGTAGTTGTTTGCACTATAATGTCTCTTTTTCTCCCAAACACTTTATGCTCAAAGACCTGAAAGAGCCCTACTGTTTTGACTTTCCAAATGTCGCTTTGGAGAAGGCCCCAACATGGTTGGCAGATGGATTCACTGTCTCACCTCCTTGGGCTGGTGATTAGGAGAGAGAGAGATCCATCTTGCCAACGTGAGTCAAAGTCATCTCTGGTGTCCAGTCTACTCCACTCATTAAGACTTCCTCTGTTGATGGAGAAAGACCAGTGCTTGTGGAGAGTGAATCACCCCATTTCCCCTAAGCATGGACCCCGGGGCTGTTTCTCTTGGAGGTGTATCTCCCCTGAGTGTCAAGGACGTGTCTGGCAAAGTCACCCAACTTTTAGCTGTTGTGTCTTGAATGAGGTGGATCTCACCAGGCTGAAATGTGCTACTGTTCTGTTCCTTTTTTGTTCACTGCAGAGACTACCAGAAGATGAATCAAAAAGGTCTCTGACATCCAGCTTGGTAGAAGCTCCAGTATAGCGAGGGACAAATATTTAACCATGTCAAATGGACTTCAGGTTAAAAATTTGCAGCATTACTCAACTGAAAATGTCACTGACTGCACAGAACATATATCTGGTAAGCAAACTGAAATATGCCACAGTTCCTGGATGCAACCTGCTCCGTTTTGGTGGCGTTTCATGGTGGTAAGAGAAGGTCAGTGTGAAATGCTGCATGGGAACACTTTTGGGGGGGCATTTTGAGTCCTTGCATAT